GTCAAAGGAGTCGGTATAACAAGGTCTACAGTCATTCCGCCGTCGGAGCCATCCAATATTGCATGGAGCTATCAAGGCAGGCGTGCGGCCGGCTGGCAACATTTGGGAGAGTCTTATCTGCTGGTTTCGGTTTCGCTAAACGCCCGAATTTGCCACACGGTCCTGACATCATTTGTCATTTGTTTTGGCACAATTTCAACGCGCGCGGCGAAAAACGCGAAAAACACCAACTCCTCGTGTGTTCCGGCGGACAGATTTCAGGCGTGCGTTTGACGTTGTGGTGCGTCTGTCTCCCGTCCGAAATTTGTTTCGCTGTGTCCCTGCCGCTTTTATTATCTAGTTGGCTGCTGATAATGCTCCGCAAATGGGTTCTTGTCAAAGCTCCAATGCCGCAGCCACTGCGAAATCCTCGTCAGTAATACGACCAACTGCAGCTGCCAGTGAGCCTTCTGCTCTGAGTAAGTGACCTTCATTGATACTACCCGTCTCAAAATCAAAAAGTTGATGGCAGTGATAAATCACAAGGATCCAAACGAAACATAATGCTAATATCTTCCCACTTCCAAAGATGCTAAAAATCAGGTGGCCGAGGCCCAGAAGCATTCAAATATGGAATCGAAAGCAAGCACAGATGCCGATTTGTCCCGTCATTCAATAGATGACGAATCGATAAAGTCTTTCACCTCAAATCGATCAGCTCAGAAGCTTGGGTACTCATCTGGAGGATCAACGCCAGATGATTCTTCTGTTGGTTCTGCTGGTTCTGCAAAACGGAATCCGAAGACGTTAGGTCACTCTTCTAGCATCATCGGCCTGGACTCAATGATTGAAAACAGGCGTGAAGATGGCGATATTAGAACAAATGTAGTGCATATGGAAGTGCCTTTCGGAAAACCGATCGAAGAAGTTTATGATGGGGTCCATACTGGACCTGTTCTGGGTTCTGGCATCTCTGGAATGGTAAGGCTCGTCACGCATAAGAAAACCGGACACAAGTACGCTGTCAAATGCTTGGATCTCGGTTTAGTCGACACAGAAGAAGGTCTTGCACAGCTTAGGGAAGAAATATTCATTATGTGCCAGTTGGACCATCCAAATATAGTCCGCTTGGAAGAGGTTTACGAAAGTCACACTGAAATATACCTTGTACAGGAACTATGTGTCGGAGGCGAATTATTTGATCGCCTCGATGAACAACCAGACTATCACTATACAGAGGCCGAGTGTGCTCGACTTGTCAAACAAATGCTCTGTGCTGTGCGGTATCTGCACTCCAAAGGCATTATCCATCGCGACCTGAAGCTTGAAAACTTTCTTTTTTCATCGAATGCTAAGGATTCGGAACTAAAGATGATCGATTTTGGATTGAGCAAGCATTTTCGATACGGTGAAATGCAACACGAAGCTGTTGGAACTCCTTATACAGTGGCGCCTGAGGTGATTCGTGGCTCTTACGACGAAAGATGCGACATTTGGGCTATTGGTGTCATTTCTTTCCTCTTGCTGAGTGGAGAACCTCCTTTTGGCGGTTGTGGTGGCCCAGAACCGCTAATGACTGTTCGGTCAAATATTCTTCGTGGAAACTTTGATTTTCAACCTGCTGACGTTTGGGGTCTCGTAAGTCAAAAGGCAAGGAAGTTCATTTCTGCCCTGCTCGTAATCGATCCGAAGGCACGTCCTACCGCCAGAGAAGCACAAAAGCATGCCTGGCTTAGAGAGTGGGCAAGCAGAAATCGCACAGACGACGACAACGTTTTGAATCCAAACGTAGTTAAAGCATTGGTGAATTTTAAGGAATTCTCGGACATGCGGAAGCTGCTGTGCGAAGTTTTGAGTTTTACCCTTTTACCTGATCAGATAAAGGATTTGCGGAAGGAGTTTGAGAAAATGGACACGGACGGATCTGGTGAGATTTCACTGGCGGCATTAAAGCAGGTCTTGGTCACAAATGCAAGCGAAGGATCACTTGGCGCCCTCACAGAAGAGGAGGTAGAAGATGTATTCAATGCAATGAGAGTGAAGAAAACGGAGACACGAATTCATTGGCATGAATTCATTGCGGCGGGACTTTCCCAATGCCAAGTTGATGATCGTAATCTTCGTCTGGCTTTCGATCGACTTGATAGTGATCACAAGGGGGTATGTCAGAAGAGTGTATGCACTGCATTATTTCATCGATCCTCATTTTTTTATTTCGTTGGCGGCTAGTATGTTACTTTGGACGATATCATGAACTTGGTTGGAAACGATTCGCATGTCTCAGAGGAAAATATGCGAAAAATGTGGGGTGACAGCGTCAGAGCTGTCAACTCGTCTGAAGCGCAAATATCTTATGACGAATTCTTGTTGCTCATGAAAGGCCAAACACGAGAAAGTATCGAGGGGGAGGAATCAGGGCCAAACGGAATGCTATCAGATCCGATGCGCGAAAGCGGAAACAATGATCCGAGTATCATTTTTCCGAAGTCCAATGACTCTAGCCTACATGATATTGCCGAAACTCATTTTTCTACGCTTCCGTTTGTAACCCCTCTCGTTCCACAACCAGATGCGATTATGAAGGATGACTTTGGACCCCTATCCATGGACACTGAGAGCATTCACGAACCATTGGACCCTGTTGACCCTTCGATCGAAAGGGGAATTATCGAAGTCTCTTCCTCTAACATCAGCAATCCTTCACGACAGAGTACAGTCGTACACGGAATACAAGAGAACCCTGGAGACCTTCCAACCATTCCACTGCCAAAACCTGGTCACTACGTTCGGAAACGTTCCCGTTCATTCGATGACAATGAAATGAAAAATTCGAAGTACAACAAAGATGTACAATTGTTGTCGGTGAATGCGCGTCGCGCAGTTGCCCTTCCGGAAGTTGATGCGGATTTCACTGACGAAACTCGTAGTGCCTTACAAGTGAACAGGCAATTGTATCGGGCTCACCGTCAGATGCGCTTGGCAGTGACCGAGGCTTCAAAGAGATTTGAAGAGCAGCAAACATTGCATGCAAGAAACGTACTCCTAGCTCAGGAGGCAGAAAAAGAAACTAGCCCAACAAGAATCGCGGGATTGGTCATGCGTCGAGTTGAAAATAAAACTATTTCATCAGAGGCTGTGAAGAAACTTCTGGAGGAGAACCGTAGAGAGCAACAGTCGTTGATGGAGGTAGCCAGTAAACGTGGTGGTCGAGGCAGACGGACACGGAAGAAAACGATTTCGGATATGAGTGGAATGATGGGATCGCTATCGCAAGATGATCTCAAGAAAATTCTGCCAGAAGCTTCTGCAGCAAATGCTTTATCGTCGCTCCCAGAGCTTGATTCACAGGAGCAGTTGAACGATCTTGTTCGCGGGGCAACCGTTCCAGGCGAGTTCAAGAAAGTTAGAGACCCTTTCGGTGTTCATGGAAAATATGGCAATGTCGGGGAGCAGAATGCTTCTGTAGAAAATGAGGGCGAAGTATACTGGCTGTGATTGGAAACTAATTAAGGCGGACAGTAGGTCCTACTAGATTGAATTGAATCCCCTGTGTCTAGTTGACTAGATGGACTAGAATGAATGGCTATCGCCAACTTTAACTTGTAATAGCTTGTAATTTTTGATTTTATCTGACTTTTGCAACACTCTAACAATTCAACCCTGTTATTGTCCTGCTATCTTTTGCACATTACCTCAGTTTATTAGAACCCAATGCTGTTGTATTGATTGAAAAAACCTGTCAATGATTTTTTAGTCAAAAGTGGCACTCAAAAGTGAGCCACTGTCTGTTCTGTCTGCACAGAAAGGCCTCAACTCTCTGTCGATGGTCGTGAAGACACAAAACTCTGTCTATGATCGTGAAAAAAGAAAAAAAACCTGTCAATAACAGTGACAGAATATTATTATTCTTGGGAGAAAGCTCAAGATTACACTAGAAGATAATATATCAATTCAAGGTAAACAAAAAACGACGCGATGAGTCAATCGGGAATTGACAAAAGTGGATGTGTGGTTCTCATCCGATGACCGCTAACGATTGAATCGTATTGGTCCGAATCACGAATCCGTTCCTGATACAATTCTGTCACTCCCCAAATGGGTGAGTGATTGAGGACCTAGTCCTTGTCAGCTGTGTCACCTACCCAAAAGATATATATATATATATAATATATTTTATATATATATATATATAGTCCTAACTGAATCATTAATTGGTTTTTATGCTACTTCTAGAGTATCCAACTGCTGGTGTAATACGGCTGTAGAGGCCAGGAACTATGCTGCTTTTAGTCAGATAAGTTTGAACCACGTTGAGGCATTTTTCAAGAAAAAAGTTGCTCTACTCAATCATGTCAGGGGACAGATTGGCGCTCCCACTGTTGGTGGGGAAGTACAAACAAGGTGCCCGAATATCTCCTTGGATACAGAAGGAATTTTGTGGGTACCGTTTCCAAGGAAAGAATTGAATGCAATTCTCTCTAGCCAGGCCTGTCAATGGGCAGGTCGGCGCTCCCACTCTGATGGTGAGGGCTTGGAAATGGAGAACCAGAAATTTGGTCTGCTGTATCTTTTCCAGACAAAGAAACAAGAGAAATATGCTGTACAACATGGAGAATTTGTGTTCATAGGGGTTGTCCTTCACAAGGTCAACCACCAATAGGGTGGTAGAATTCGAGCGGGTTGTTGCCTCCAGACCTTCCTGAGCGTGCTCAGGTGCAGTCCTCGGGAAGGTTTCCCTCAGCTTGTTGCACCATCTTTTGTTTGTCTCTGGAGGGAGAAGTCACTCGCGCGCAAATAAAAAGCGTAAATAATTTTTTAGTAAGTCGATAAATCAGAAATAAGCGATTTCCAGGGTCGGGTTTAGCCCCTTTATTTGGTGGGCAGAATTTCTGAAATTCACAATATTTTTCCACGCACAGCACCAAAACAGAACTGTACCAGTCCTCCGCGTTTTCTACGTAAAGGAAAACAGTTGTTGTTGTTGAAACAGGAAATAAATTTACGTCAACATGAAGGATAGCATCATCAAACCGCCGGAGAAGGATCCGAATTCGACCATGACTGTAGCTGACCAAGGTCAGGGAGGTCTTGAGGAAAAAAAAACTATCAAATTTGACCACTCAATTGTCAATTGCTCTGACCAAGGATAATCCTGCCATCACGACTCCCAAGCGCAGCAGCAAGCGATACCCTTCAGAAACCGCCAAGGATGGCGCAATGAAAAGACGCTCGCTCTTCCCATCTGAAGTTGCCCAAGGTCAGGACGTCCCCACGGTCAACACTCAACCGAATCCAACCACTCCTTCATCAATCGATTTAACCAAGGACAATCCGCCTGATCCCACAACTTCAAAGAGCCAACGCAAGCAACCCCCTTCTTCCAAAACCGCCAAGGATGGCACAGGCAAGGATGATCGCTCGTTGCCTACATCACAAAACTCAAGGTGTCAAAGTTTCGCAGGCTCTACACGAAGGCTTGGAGACAGTCGGTGTTTGCTCTCGCAACGTCCCAACGCGTTATCACTACTGACGAAAAGTCGCCTTGCTTTTGGGAATTTTCGCTCTTGTTCGACCCGAATTTTTGCTCTTGTTCGACCCGACATTAATTGTTCAACGCGCCGAGCCGTTGACTTGGATGTGGCTAGCGGCATCCAAATTCTTTGCTAATCCTTGGACAGGCCCTGCTATCATTCCTCACATTGTGGAGGAATCCAAGCGACTAAAACGAGAGCCAACAATAGCCAAAGCTCAGTCCAAGTTTAAGAAGCGACTTGTATCCATGCCAGAGCACCCAACAGGTGCCGAGGCACACGATTCTCCCGAGAACCTCCATCCAAGCAATGAACCCATGGAATTTGTTGAAATCGTTTGGCATGCCTTGACAACAGCGTTTCCAACAAAACAAGGTTGGAACCAGAACGAACTTCTCAGCTATTTACACACAACAACAATCCTATTTTATGACGTCTGCGCTGCCCATCAGAAGTGGTCACCAACCATGGACTCGAATGAAAAAAATCACAAGAGATGGCTTTGAAATCGACAAAGATGAAGATCAAGATCTCAAGGGACGAGTAACCTTCAAAAAAGGCACACAGGGTGGCACTTGCAGAGGTGGGGAGTCTTTTGATTTTAACTTGAGCTACTGAGATACCGCTGGCATAAGATCACTACACTGGACATGCAGAATTATGCCAGTGCCAAGTTGAACAAGACTGCAATTGAAGGGACAATTTTTGAATTCTTTGTCTACGTTCCAAGGCGTCAAGCGGCTCAAGTGCAGCGACTAAGAAGAGCCACTACCCCTGCAATTCAACGGGAGAGGGAACGGCTTCGCCAGCATGCAGCAGCAAACAATCTACAAATTGGACCAATTGCTGAACAACATTTGGCAACATTCAATGCAAGGGCCCCCAAAGGCACAGAGCTTGCGATTCCGACTGATGCAACAACCTGCTAAGCCCAAGCACTCGATCGCGACCGAGCGCGATTGCAGAATGAGGATGCTCAGGCTCTAGCCGATCGGCAACAGTGTGTACAGGCCTGTCAAAATTGAGCTATTTGGTGGTACCAAGGCCATGATTTGTATGAACATTGTATTGCTCCGTCAGGCTCTTTCACTTCCGAACCATGATTGCTTCCACCAAGGCATCTACAATGAGTATACACATCCACTTCTTCCAGACGGAGCTGACATGGAAGATGTAGATCACCATAATCAAGACTAGAGTCAATCACCGTTTTTAGGATTACAAAGGTTATCAAAAACATCATCGTCCAATCCACCATTGCATAGCCGCAATGAGCATATTCTCCTGTAGAACCAGAGACATTTTGATTTCTAGTACACTCTCTCATGGCAACCTTCAACACCAACTCAGGATAGAGTGGAAAGACTAGGTTAACCTTCTTCTGAATATATCTCTTTAGTTGTCCAAAGCAAATTTCAATCGGATTCAGCTGTGGACTCACGACTCTCCACCAAAAGTCAGTCGAGTATGTCATAATCTGGCTCTGTTATTTTTATGATCTAAGGCTGGAATAGCACTCTGCAGAGTGACATTCCAGGCTTAGATTCCTTATCTAAATGGATGGTTATCAGTGTTCATCCATTATCTGCATATTAGCCTCATCAACGAAGGTATCTTTGTATGTTTCCTACTGATTTTGTGTGGCTATATTTTTTCTTATTTTTTATATATAGAGAAACGTCATTGAGATGTATTAGGTACTCAGCCCAAAAAGGGGGTTATTATTTCAGGTTTTGTTACCCAAGATTGCCAAAAACGCTGAAATCCACAACATTTATTTTTATTTTTTTTATTTTTGAGTTTTATACACCTACCCAAAAGAGTAGTGCACGTAGCTGCGGCCATATCTGTTGATATCCCCAATGTTTGCTAAGGATATCTGTTGGGTTTTTAACACCATCGATATGTAGAAAGGAAAGCATGTTGGATGCTATGGCCTCTCTAACACGGTGAAACAACAACGCGACATGTCGTTTGTGTAGTTTTGCATCTGGTTGAGATGAGCTGTTAACAACAGACTCATTGTCTCCAAACATGCAACTACGTCCTTGGATAGGAACACCAAGGTATCTCAGTGTGAATTGTAGAACCATGATTTGTTCCACACAAGTACAGGCTGCGACAAACTTGGAGCCGCGTGTGGCGGTTTCAACGGTAGCTTGCTTCTTTGAAAAAGCATCAATACGTGATCCAATAATTAGGTGTACAATACCTGTTACTGATCTACCAGTTAACATGCAGTGGAATAGGTTGGCATCCACGTAGTGAGTCAGGATCACCAGCTTGCCCAATGGTGTTGGTGCATCTGCAGGGATCTGCTCGGTAGGACAGCCATATACTGAGTCTGCCCAGTCATAGACTGGATCAGTTACATCACTGTAGTCTGGTAGGCCGGTTTGGAATCTAATGGCTGCGTTCTTCATCTTCAGAAGGTAGCCACAGATTTGCTTGGCTTGATCAAGGTGGCCTTGTCTTGGTGTGGAGCGAAAGCTTGACATGGTCATAACTGCGGTCGCTATGTCCAGGCGTCCAAGGGAGATAGCCCATCAAAGTTGGCCAACCAATGACAGGTACCAAGTGCCACCTTCTTCATCAAGAAGTTTGGATGTGTCACATTCGGGATGGTCTCCCTTTTCAAGGGGCTACATCATGTTGGTCTTTGGCTTTTGGCCAAACATTCGATGGTACGTATCTACCATTGGATCAATGTATCTTTGAGGGGACATGCAAAGCACGCCTTGTTCGTCTCGGAAGAAATTGCATCCTAGATGAAATTCTAGTGGTCCAGAACCTTTTAAGTTTAAACTTATAATCATTGGTTAATTTATTTAGGAATGACTTGGGGTCTCGCATTGCCAATGCAAGATTGTTGACGTAGACGCCAACATACTCATACAACTTTTTGTCAGGAGTGGGACGCATCTGTTAGAAAGCAAAATGTGCTCTATTGTGAGTGCCTTTAGCGCTCAGAACAAACTCTCTGCAATCTAAATTCGTAATCGATTGTACAACACTTTCACGACAATAGTTCTCCTGTGTCTAGGTATACTTTGAGT